AATAAGATAGTGGTTTCAATTATTACAGTAGAAGTTTGTTCCTCTAATTTTAATGTAAGCGTTCAGAACCTCGAAATTAGTGGAATAAATTAGTAGTTTCAATCAGAGTAGAAGTTTGTTACTCTAATTTCAATGCAAACGTTCAGAACGTCAAAATTAGTGGTAGTAATTTTCAAGCTTTATTCAGAACCTCGAAATTAGTGGAATAAATTAGTGGTTTCAGTCAGAGTAGAAGTTTGTTACTCTAATTTCAATGCAAGCGTTCAAAACCTCAAAATTAGTGGCAGTAATTTTCAAGCTTTATTCAGAACCTCGAAATTAGTGGAATAAGATGGTGGTTTCAATTATTACAGTAGAAATTTGTTCCTCTAATTTTAATGTAAGCGTTCAGAACGTCAAAATTAGTGGTAGTAATTTTCAATTAGTAGAAAAAGTTAACAAAACTTTAACGTCTTCCACTAATTATACTTACCACTAAATAAACAAATTTGCGGGTAATGCGGGTAACGCCATTTTGGCTTTTGATTATCTACCATCAAGAGAAATTGTGGTTAGAATAAAAAGTTTAATATTTTATAAGCTATTTATTAGGCTTTCTCTGTAGATATATACAACTAGACTACCGCAAGTTGTTGCTAGGATATTCTATTAATTTTAATTTTATTTTTTAAACATTGTTATCGAAAGCTCATATTATGTATAAAGTATAATTGAAACCACTAATTTATTCAACTAATTTTGAGCTTCGCTGAATGATACTTATGGTTCAATGGATTTTTCAATCTTGCCTTCAACCATCAACACGACAGAGCTTTTTATTACCTGCCCTAGCAATGGTATCAAAAGGAACTATTTCTTTGAATGTTGTAGACTATTTGGGTGTTTTATCTTTGGTATTTTTGATAAGCGGTTGCTATTTTGTGGATATTATTGTTTCCCCTCTTTGTATAAGTTTTGGCTGTTAAGTCATATACGACACTCCATGCCTGAATGAGTGAATTGTGTTGGTGTTATTTTGTGTATTTAGTTTTATTTTACTTTTGAAGAAATCCTTTAATGCTAAACAAGCTATTTTCGATACGCTGATTAAGAATTTTCAATCGCTTGAGCCAAAACGCTAGGCATCCTAAAGAAAATCGTAAATATTTGGATGTTTTCCTGATTACGATCCGAATTAGAATTTAGCCAGTTAATTATCATCCGCTTCTTGATTTATTCGACGTCGCGCAAACACGGAAACTGAACTTTCGGCAGTAGTAGTTTAGTTCTGGAAAAGCGAGAATTTCTACAAATTTGCAAGATGGCAATTAGCCAGAGTGTTGGTTTAAGAGGTGTCGGTTGGATAATGTACAGCTACGACTATCAGAGGAAAACTAAAGTTTGTAATTCTTTTGTCTGTTATTTTTTGAGGGAGTATTTTGCTCTGTCGATAACACTCTACCAGTTCCTCAATAAGTGCAAATCACTTTACCATCGAAAAAGCACCTTTTCACGTTTGTTTGCTTCTTGAATCGTCTCTAATGCTTTATTTTTATTGAAGATATTAGAGCTTTTGAAGTAGACAGTAATGATTTACAGCAATTTTAGCATTACAGACATGCCTTTGCTTTTGGTCCTCATCAACACACCTTTGAAACAGTGGCTATCGTTTTTGTAATGTCACTGTCATTAGGAAGGCATATTATTATTCTTTTTTTTAAATCGTCTTCATGAAGCTGACCTGGATGCTATAGAATGGATCACAGAATGCTCTAGAATGGATCTTGTAGTGTAAATTATAGTTGTTCGTTTTTACTGTAACATAGTGATATCTCTCTTACGCATCTGATTGTTGATTTTTGAATTGTTTTGATTTTTTTTAGAATTATTTTTGTATTGATTTATTTTTTATTTTCTTGATATCATGTGTACTCTTAATACGCCATACGAATTATATATATTCTTTTTTAGCAGTTATTCCAGAGGTACCAGTTTTATGTTCAGGAATTTATCTCTTCTAGAGGTGTGTAGTTCGTAAATGAACTAGTGCCAATGAAATATTCCGACTACAGAATAAAAAGAACTAGTTTCCCAGGACCTATTCCGAGGTCGAGACACCACCACCTCCATACAAGGCCATTCAACCTTTTCCAATATGGCGGAGATAGAAGTGCTTTATTTGACGCGTATTTTAAACCAATAGACATTTTTCACACAAATGTCGGGTTAGATTACGTAATATTTCACTAATTTTTTAATATATAGGGAGTCTAAAGTTCTCCACATAAGTATGAAATTTTTTGTATTATTACTTTTATGAAAACATCAGTTAGTTACTTTTTATAAAAAAAGGTCTGCTTTCTCAGAAAATAGGTAGTGTTAAAATATTTTGAGGTAGCATATATTGGGTGTTCAAAATCATCGAAAAAAGAAATAACCAGAAAAATATAAAAAAAAGAGCAATATAAACTAAATATTTAATTGCAAACACTTACCTACCATAGTTTAGAACGTTTCATAAATATATACTATTATGGACAGTATAGGAACTTACTTGTCTTAGTAAAAGCCTTGGTAAATGCTCTTGGAATTATAAACTACACTGGCTTGGATAAAAAAATATGGAATATTTTTTCTATGTTTTGCAGCATTACATAAATGGGAATAAATTTAAACTATAATAGGTGAGGATAACTAAAAAATATAATACGAGTTTCAAGATTTTATATAGAAAAAAAACTAAATACCTTTTTGGGGGTTCGTAAGTAAAACTACTTACGCTTAGCTTAGTGTTCTTTACTCTTTCTCTTTACATAGGGCATTGTCTTTGTGGTAAAGACGTCATTCCTTTTTTTGCATAGTTCTTCAATACTTATTTATAATTTTATGACGTAAATTTAACGTTTAAATTTTTTTGAATTGATTTGTATTGTATGACATTTTTTTATTATTTGTATATTTGTTTTTGTGCTTTTTTTGTTTTGCTTTGTCGATGAAGCTGTTTTGGCTTTTTGTACAATAAAGCGTTATTTTTTTTAAACATTAGATATTCTGAACAAGATGGATTTAATAGTTTGATGTTTGATGGTCTTTTTGAGGCATATTTAATGCACTTCTTACCCGAGAACTACTAGTAGGAGTGAAATTATCTCTTTTAATAGCTGTCAACCATTTTTTACAAAGCTCGACATTTTTGGGGAATATAAAAGCAGAAACCTTGGGACCCCCTCTATAATCCCCATGACAATTTGGAATAGAGCATGTAAAAGGCATGCTACAATAAAATGTCAACCCTTTAATACCTATCTTTTGATTATTGTAAGTAACCATTATAAAGTACTATGCAGACTGGCGGTGAAGGCTTTTTACTAATTTAGGTTAGGTTAGGTTAAGATGTTACCTTAATAAATACTTCTAGTTCTTACCTTAAAATAATTAATAATACAGGAGTAGATACGACAAGCACAAAAGTTTGAAATTCCCTATGTGGAATGTCTGGTTTGGATTTTTATTACACCCTTATTTTATCACAATTTTCTGATCACACCATGCACTAAACACTAAGAACTAAACAAACGTGTTGCAGAAGCACAACAAACTGGAGATAATTAATTATTTCTGGTATGCAAACGAAACGATGGTTAAAGGTAAACAACAGCCTTCGCCGCCATATTTGTCTTGCCCATATCATGTTGATTGGCCTTGAGTGGAGGGGGTAATGGTCGAGACTGCGACCGATATATAGTAATATGCGACGGCGACGGATCGGCCAGCGGGATCGTAGCCTGATGCTAGGCAAGAGTGGGGAGTGCCAGCCGTATGTTATCGGATCCGCACCTAGAGGAACTAGAGGAACTAAATAAAAGACTAATTTACGTACGGATCGGCCAGTGCGATCGTAGCCCGATGCTAGGCGGTAGTGGAGAGTGCCAGCCGTATGTTACCTGTCCCGGACCAAAAGGACTGAGAGGAACTAGTTCACGGGAATCTATTGAGTCGGCAGATCCGAGACATAATACAAGGCGACGACGATGGATTCGGCCTTGTCTATTGCCACAGCCGTCGTAATTACCACAGAATATGGTAGTGGATACTGTTTTTGATTTTTAGTTTGTTCTTTGAATATTTTATGGGAATGTTTCACTTTATTTTTTTAAAATTAGGAAATATCTTATAAAACGAAGTAGATATTCTGAATTTTTAGACAAAAACAAAAAGCTTGAAGAGAGGAACAATACAATTTTTCGTAAAATTTTCGTATTATTTGCTCCAGTTGATTTGTGATAGAGATTTTTAAACTCTAATTTGGAGTTTATTTTTTATTTTTTTACCTGTAATTAAACTTACCTATATGTTTATAACATACGAAGTTACACGTTTCGTTATATGTCGTACATTATAAACATTATACAGATTACCTATTATTACCTGTGAATAGTTCTGACTGACTACGAAACCCATTAGCAAGCAATGGGGATGTCAAAGTTAGTCGGGAACTATTGTGAACTAAAGACCTAGTTCAAGGAACTATTCCTCTGGAGGAATTAGAACTAAGAAACTATTTCATTAAGTATGTAATTATCTACAACTTTTATCTGAAAACTTTTTGTCTAAAATAGATTATAATGAAATTAGGGAGCATTTTTAAAATAGCCAATATTTGTTTTTTTTAAATGTCTAGTTTTTCAAAAACCTAAAAGGCGTATACCTATATTTTGTTTTCACAAAACTGCAATTCTTTTCTTATTTGACCGACTCTCTAATTCCAGTAGTTTACAAGATTTACCTATAGAGAACATCGTAGAAAACTCACCCTGTAAATTGTTTAATTTTTTATCAGTTTCCCATGGGCTTTTTACATAGAAAATTCTACCATTAAAACCTTTTTTCAGATGCATAATTTTTATCGTTTCACACGCTCATTTTTCGAACGATTTATGCAAAATGATCAGATAATAAATCCACACCATTCGATATTTCAAATTTTAATACATACATTCGAATTTTTACGCTTTACTTACCCGCATAGTAATGTGGTTCGCGTTCGTAAAAATGGTGATGTCTCATGTTAACGTCTTCATCACCGGGCTGGTGCAGCTGCGGAATCAGATTAAGCCACACGGCCATTTTGTGACCCCTGTAGTGGCTCTTCATTTTCGGTTTAAGAGCTGCAACAATAACTTCAGGTTAGATTTTAGAAAAAATTGAAGAAATAAAAAATCATACTACAATATACCGGGTTCAGCGCATATTTTGTAGGTAAAAATGGTTGTCAAAAAGTTCTGATATAATCATGTCCTATCAAATGCCTCGTTTCAGAGATATCAGGTGTAGAAGTTTTATTTTTATTTCGATTTTTTATAAATAACTTCTAAACTAATGTCAATACTTGGATGAAAATCGTCTAGGTGATTTTTTACATGAGCAATTTGATTTAGATATCTTCCTCCAAATTGTAGGGGACGTCACTACATATTTTTGAGTTGTCTGAAGAGTAATAACTGGTTGCCTGTACCTGTATAAAACTGAGTGAAAATACATTTCCGTATGACTAAACGTTCTCAAGATATTTGCATATGTAAATTATCAATACATGACATTATTGACAAAAAATAAACATGTTGACTAGATAGTTGTTTCACTGAAATGATAAATCTGGGAACTTTCTATTTCTGCGAAAAATGGTTATAAAACAGTTTCTGTTAAACTTTTGACACAAAACATTTAAAATTTATGATTTCAGTCCAATAACTGTCTAGTCAAAATTTGTTAAGTCATTTTTGTTAATGACATGTACTGATTATTTCGATTCCAAATATCTCGAGAACAAAATTATTATGTATTAGTATGTACCCGCGACTTCGTTCGCGTCGAATTAATCATTTGTAATGGTGATGATAAAGCAAAGCAAGAATTTCTATTAACATACTAACTGGATAAAATTTTCTCACATTTATGTCAGCATGAGAAAAAAAAACAATATGGCGCTATTTTACTATATACCTAACTAGGTAATATTTGAGGGGTAGTTTTATCTCGTTGGAATTTGACTTTCGAAAAATCCGTTTGGCAAAAATAAGCTTTTTACGTCAAGCAATTTAAGCAGAATCGTGGTTAATCAATTACCCAACTTTTTGGAACACCATGTATGATTTTTAAAAAAATTCAAAATATGTAAAAAACAAAATAAATTATGCATGTCCAAGCGTTTTTCCGAAAGACTAACCGTTTTTTAAATAAGAAATATTGTAATATTTGAGAGGCGTTTTCACCCTCTTGGAATTTGGGGTTAGAGAAACCCCTCCTTATCAAACCTCTACACCCCATAGTCAATCCGTTTACCAAAAATCAGCTTTAAATGTCAAGCAGTTTAAGCAGGATCGTGATTACTCAATGGTCATATTTTATGAAACACCTTCTATAAATTACAGTTGAGGGTTGGAACCTTTGGTGTTACACAGCAAAATAAAACACTAAATTACCACAATACACCAAAACACTTTTACTTTTACACTGGACGCGCGTTTCGCTAACCATGTTAGCATCATCAGCACATGATTATAACGGAAATGTCACGGAAATTTTGGGAGTTACCTGTGTAAAATTGGAAAGAGGGAAGTCGCGGAATGCCGATACTGTGCTGAACCCAATGATACTCCAGAACACACAATGTTTGCTTGTCCAAGATGGCAACAGGAAAGATGTGAGGTACGCATGACGATTGGTGGCAACATCTCCGCAGATACCTTCTGAAAATCGGTAACAGAAAGAAGAGAAAACTTTGAAGCCATCTCAAAATTGGCCCAACATATACTAGAGGCAAAATACAGCGAAGAGCAGGGGTAATGAAACAAAAAGAACAGTCCGGCGTCTACTTGAGGAGATGCGTCCAGCGGGTCCAGGTAGACGTGGCAGGAGCGAGGGGGTGATGTTTAGTGGGTAGTGTCCTCCAGGCAGCTTAAGGAGAGATTGAGTCCCACACTCCGTACCTAAAGGTATTTTACACCTCCAAAAAAAAAAAATATGATAATAATATATATGATGCTAACATGGTTAGCGAAACGCGCGTCCAGTGTAAAAGTAAAAGTGTTTTGGTGTATTGTGGTGATTTAGTGTTTTATTTTACCTTCTATAAATTTTTAAAAAATCTTAAAATATATAAAACAAAATAAAATATAAGTGTTTATGAGTTTTCCCGAAAAACTCACCGCTTTTTAAATAAAAAATATTTGAGGGGTGGTTTCACCCCCTTAGAACTCGAGTTTCGAAAAATCCCTTCTTATCGAACCTCTACACCCTAAAGTCAATCCGTTTCCCAAAAATCAGCTTTTTACGTCAAGCGCTTTAAGCAGGATCGTGATTGGTGATTAATCAATGGCCAGATTTTTCGAAACACTCTGTATACATTTTTAAAAAATATTAAATTATATAATTTAAATTATGACTCTTGATAAAAAAACAAAATAAAATATACTTGTTTAAGCGTTTTTTCGGAAACTTGGCCGTTTATTAAATAAAAAATATGGAAATATTTGAGGGGTGGTTTCACCCTCTTGGAACTGGAATTTCAAAAAATCCCTTCTTATCGAACCTCTACAACCTAGAATCAACCTGTACGCCAAAATTGAGCTTTTAACGTTGAGTGATTTGAGCAGGATCGTGATTAATCAGTGAGTCAGTCACTTAAGGATTTTATATATTAGTATAGATAGACTATCAAATGTTATTTCTGTAAAAATTCCAATAGTTAAAAAATGTAAATAATCAAAAGTATAAAAATTAACTTTTAAATAACAACTATAGAGAGTAAATAACTATACATATAGAGTAACAATAACTTTAACCTTAATTAGGGTAGGTAGAGTGGTGTCCAGCGCAAAATAATAAATTACACACAAGAGGTAGGTAGTAATTATGTGTGGTTTCCGGTCAGACGGCTATAACACGAGAAGATCTATGATCACCTTAACACAGGATAAAATTATTTCCTGGACCCACGTTAGCCAATTTTATTTATTAAAGGAAGAGAATAAAATTGTATTTAATCCTTCCTTTAATAAATGAAAGAGAACAAAATTATAATTATTAATAAAAATAATTAAATATTCATATAATGAAAATTGGTGATTTTATTAAAGTCACCTATCTAGATGAAACTATTCTAATTTGTTAATTAAAAGGCGTAAAATAATGAAATATTTCTTTCTGGTCGTACGAGTATGCGTCTTAATGAGTATTACAGCTATCATCAATAATTGTTCAAAAACAAGGGTTGAAAAAATTGACTTTATAAGAAAACCACAGCATTAATGTATTTATATGTTTATATATTCTAAAAGTACATGGTATCCCATTTTAGTTGAAACCATACGGTATATCCGTTATTAGTGAAGATAGAAGGATGCGGTTTGCATAAACCTGTCCCACTTTTTTGTCAAACGAAAGATGCTGTAAACAAAATTTTCATAGCCCTCTTTTTTCTGAGCTACAGGGTCTTTGTGAAAATTTTGCAATTTAGGACAGTCCCTGTATCTCCGTTATTGTGAATGATATCGAGAAGGTGAAAATTGATTCTTGTAGAACTTTTTACGTAGAATACAGTGGCGTAGTCTGTTTTTCTACGGAAAAAATATTTTTGAAAATATGAACTAGTTACCTATGTTTTTTTTTGATGGAACGCCCTGTATATTTATAAATTATTTTATTTGGCTTGACATAAGGTTCTCAAGAATATATACCACTCTATAATTATTTTCACTCTTTACTGCAATATTTAAAAGTTTTTATTAAAAGATCATATATATTAATATATTTTTTTTATATATTAGGAAAACTTAACTCTCTACCGCTATTTGTAAATCTTGGAAGTTATCGAATTTTAGATATTCCTTTAGCTAATTTACGTGAAATATACTTTCAGCAAGATGGGGCTTTCCCTAACAACTTTGAAAGTATTAAAATTTTGTTAAATTATTATTTCTGAAAACATTGAATTGGAACCAATGGACCCATATGATGGCCTCCCTGATTCCCGGATTTGTCCGTTCTCGATTTCTGATTTTGGGGATTTTTAAAATATGAAATAATATATCGTGGCAACTACAGCAATGTTGAACACCTGGAAAATGTTTTAATAATGCAAGCTTTTAGATATTTGCAAACCCATCCCATTATAATAAATTCCGCTATAAAAAAAAGGAAAATATATTCAGAGATTCAGTGGTAACAGTTCAAAACTAAAATATATCAATCCCAAATAAAATTTTAATGTGTGTATGACTATTTTAGTAAATACCATTTTGATTTTTATGTTATTTATCACGGCCTACTAATAAAAAAATGATATATTTTAAATATTGAAGTAAAGAGCGAAAATAAATAATATAGAGTGATATATATTTTTGAGAAGCTCATAGCAAGACGGATCATATGATTTATAAATATACAGGGTGTCCCATTTGAAAAAACATAACTTTAGTTCATATTTTCAAAAATATTTTTTCCGTTGAGAAACAGACTACGCCACTGTATTCTACGTAAAAAGTTCTACAAGAATCAGTTTTTACCTTCTCGATACCATCCACAATAACGGAAATCCGGGGTCTGTCCCAAATTGTAAAATTTTCAAAAAGACCCTGTAGCTCAGAAACGAAGAGCGCTATGAAAATTTTGTTTACAGCATTTTCCGTTTGATAAAAAAGTGGGACAGGTTTGTGCAAACCGCACCCTTCTAATTTCACTAATATCGGAGATACCGTATGATTTCAACCAAAATGGGACATCACTCTGTACATAAAATTTCCTACAAATCCCTTAATTTTTATAATTTAATCGCTATGTTTATTAATTTTTTGGGCCCTCTCAAGAAAAAGAAACACAATACAATCTAAAAAATCTACAAAACGTTTCACTTCTAATCAAATCCTAATATATTGAATATAGCTACATACAGTTATCACATTTTTATTACCTAAATCATATTTTTTCTTTGTTGAAATATCTCCCTATAAAATGCTAATATTTCCGGAACGCAAACAGGATGGTAAAGCATCTTTATAAAAAGATTTCTATTGGCAAAAACCTCTATACATATTTATGAAAGAAAAATAACGGCTAAAGTCGCGCCTCTGGCAAGTCCTCCAATTCCAATATTTGTGTTACATTTATT